TTTATAATAATATTGCGATATAATATAACAACCCTAAATGAAGAAAATTAATTTTGTTTCGATCACTCTTTCTGTTTGAGTCAATTCTTTCTTGAATAATTTTTTCAGGTTAATATGGAAAATTGTGATTGATCTTTTTAAAGTAATTTTTATTTGTCTTAATGTCGATTCATAGATAAAGAATTAGATAATAAGTATAATAATTATTGTTTTTAAGAGCTTCTTTCAGAATGCTCCAATTCTCAACAATTGACAGGGAGAATCAAAAACAAAAACTTTGTTTATACATTTAATTTTAATGTTATTTAACCAATCGACATAACCTTTCTAATTTATTACATAAGTCGGGCACTTTTGATTAAAATTTGCTGATTTTAAATTGATAAAGTTATTACTAGTTTTTTGAATAATTATGTTAATTGATATATCTATGTAGCAGTTCCAAGCCTGAAATTAAACAATAGTTTTCTTTTATGATTATGTTGGGAAAATAACTAATTTATTTTAAAATTATTTTCTAAATATTTAAAGTACTCAATATGATAAGGGGTATGTAGTAGTTTCTTTAGCGAAACTAATCTAGTATAACCAAATTAGATACAAAAATATACTCAATTTAATGAAACATAAATTTAAAGCATAATCAATAAAATTTACCTGACAATCAAACAATTGAATCCTTAAAAATCAAGAAAGGTTAAGTATATGAGTTGAAATTCAATAATTATAATAACAATAATAATAATAATAACAATAACAATAACAATAACAATAACAATAACAATAACAATAATAATAATAATAATAATAATAATAATATTTATTATTATTATTAATATAATAGTAATAGAAATAGTAATAATAATAAAAATAATAATATTCCATAATAAATAGACAATGATTATGCTAGAATATCGCGGTTAAAAGTATCAAATTGAAGTGACTTTAGATACTTACATACATGAAATCATAGAAATAGTTAAAGAAATATACTCAATTCAAGAAAACATTAATTTAAAGCATAATCAATAAATTTTGCCTGAGAATTAAACAATAGAATCCTTAAAAATCAAAAAAGGTTTTATCTTGTCAGTGGAAATTCAATAATAATAATAGTAATAATAATAATAATCACTCACATAATAAAATATAATGATTATTTTAGAATATCGTGGTTAAAAGAATCAAATTGAAGTGACTTCAGATACTTACATACATGAAATCATAGAAATAGTTAAAGAAATATACTCAATTCAAGAAAAAATTAATTTAAAACTTGATCAATAAATTTTGCCTGAGAATTAAACAATAGAATCCTTAAAAATCAAAAAAGGTTTTATCTTGTCAGTGGAAATTCAATAATAATAATAGTAATAATAATAATAATCACTCACATAATAAAATATAATGATTATTTTAGAATATCGTGGTTAAAAGAATCAAATTGAAGTGACTTCAGATACTTACATACATGAAATCATAGAAATAGTTAAAGAAATATACTCAATTCAAGAAAAAATTAATTTAAAACTTGATCAATAAATTTTGCCTGAGAATTAAACAATAGAATCCTTAAAAATCAAAAAAGGTTTTATCTTGTCAGTGGAAATTCAATAATAATAATAGTAATAATAATAATAATCACTCACATAATAAAATATAATGATTATTTTAGAATATCGTGGTTAAAAGAATCAAATTGAAGTGACTTCAGATACTTACATACATGAAATCATAGAAATAGTTAAAGAAATATACTCAATTCAAGAAAAAATTAATTTAAAACTTGATCAATAAATTTTGCCTGAGAATTAAACAATAGAATCCTTAAAAATCAAAAAAGGTTTTATCTTGTCAGTGGAAATTCAATAATAATAATAGTAATAATAATAATAATCACCCACATAATAAAATGTAATGATTATTTTAGAATATCGTGGTTAAAAGAATCAAATTGAAGTGACTTCAGATACTTACATACATGAAATCATAGAAATAGTTAAAGAAATATACTCAATTCAAGAAAAAATTAATTTAAAACTTGATCAATAAATTTTGCCTGAGAATTAAACAATAGAATCCTTAAAAATCAAAAAAGGTTTTATCTTGTCAGTGGAAATTCAATAATAATAATAGTAATAATAATAATAATCACCCACATAATAAAATGTAATGATTATTTTAGAATATCGTGGTTAAAAGAATCAAATTGAAGTGACTTCAGATACTTACATACATGAAATCATAGAAATAGTTAAAGAAATATACTCAATTCAAGAAAAAATTAATTTAAAACTTGATCAATAAATTTTGCCTGAGAATTAAACAATAGAATCCTTAAAAATCAAAAAAGGTTTTATCTTGTCAGTGGAAATTCAATAATAATAATAGTAATAATAATAATAATCACCCACATAATAAAATGTAATGATTATTTTAGAATATCGTGGTTAAAAGAATCAAATTGAAGTGACTTCAGATACTTACATACATGAAATCATAGAAATAGTTAAAGAAATATACTCAATTCAAGAAAAAATTAATTTAAAACTTGATCAATAAATTTTGCCTGAGAATTAAACAATAGAATCCTTAAAAATCAAAAAAGGTTTTATCTTGTCAGTGGAAATTCAATAATAATAATAGTAATAATAATAATAATCACCCACATAATAAAATGTAATGATTATTTTAGAATATCGTGGTTAAAAGAATCAAATTGAAGTGACTTCAGATACTTACATACATGAAATCATAGAAATAGTTAAAGAAATATACTCAATTCAAGAAAAAATTAATTTAAAACTTGATCAATAAATTTTGCCTGAGAATTAAACAATAGAATCCTTAAAAATCAAAAAAGGTTTTATCTTGTCAGTGGAAATTCAATAATAATAATAGTAATAATAATAATAATCACCCACATAATAAAATGTAATGATTATTTTAGAATATCGTGGTTAAAAGAATCAAATTGAAGTGACTTCAGATACTTACATACATGAAATCATAGAAATAGTTAAAGAAATATACTCAATTCAAGAAAAAATTAATTTAAAACTTGATCAATAAATTTTGCCTGAGAATTAAACAATAGAATCCTTAAAAATCAAAAAAGGTTTTATCTTGTCAGTGGAAATTCAATAATAATAATAATAATAATCACCCACATAATAAAATATAATAATTTTTTTAAAATATCGTTATTTAAATTATGAAATTGAAGTGACTTCAGATACTTACATACATGAAATCATAGAAATAGTTAAAGAAATATACTCAATTCAAGAAAACATAAATTTAAAGCATAATCAATAAATTTTGCCAAACAATTAAACAATAGAATCCTTACAAATCAAAAAAGGTTTTATCTTTTCAGTGGAAATTCAATAATAATAATAACCAATGCAATCAAAATTAACTTTAATTATTTTTCACTCTGCTCATAATGGTTAAGCAGTAGAAGTAGATTCAGATGCTAAAGTATATGAATTGGCATTTGAATTATAAGCATTATTTGAGCTTTCCTAAATTTAATTAACTTTAGAAAATGGATAAGTGTTAAATCCAAATAAAACTTATAGAGAATAAAATGTATAAGAAAATTCTAAATTGTACATATAGTAAGTCTTAACTAATCCTACTTAAACAGCATCTTAAATTTAAGAAATAGTTTTGATAGTGCTATTTGAATAATAAACTTTAAATATTACTGTTCCTTGTAATTCTTTGGTGTATGAGCTTGAATGTACACTTAAGCAAAATTTGAATCTTAATTATGAAATAAAGTTATACCACAATGATAAAATGTTGAATTCGAATGAAACATTCTAATAATTGCAAATCGTAAAAGGTTCTAAGTTGGTGATCAAAAAAATTGAACAAGCCTCTGTTTCAAAAAAATAAATTCAATTAAGTTTGTCTAATGAAACTTAGCCTCTAATTGCAATAGAAGTAGAAGATGAAATTACTATTAAAGATATAGAAGATTAAATAAATCAATACTTTCATTTAAATGTAGATTTGGTGACTCTTTATAATGGGTAGGTTTTAGATTCATGCAAAACCCTGTAAGAATATTAAATTAAAGATAACTCCATTCTCAAATTTTAATAGAAATAATAAAAAATACATCTTATTATTAATGCATTCAATCAGACTTTAGATTTTAAAGTTAATTAAGATACAACAATTATGAGTTTGATTGAAGATGTAAAAGGTATATCCAATGTGAAAAATCAATTGATGATGTAAAAAGAAAATGGAGAAATCTTAGACCCAAGCTTAACTGTTAAGCAATCTGGAATTTGTGATAACTCAATCTTAACTGTAGTTCAATTATAGGATAAATAACCCAAATTGCCAGTTAGAAGAGTTATCTACGTGATTTTAGATTATAAAGGGGCTAAAACACCAATAGAAGTTGAAGATAATATTAATGTATCAGAGTTGATAGAGCAAATCATGCTTAGTTTCTCAATTTCAGGATCCTTATAAATTAGTCTTGAGGGAAAATAAATTCTTAATCCTTTAGACACTTTAGCCAATTAGAATGTTTAAAATGGTAGTCTATTAATTGTAACTCAAATTTCATAAAATGTTCCTCAAATTTAATAAGTTGCTTCTTAAACTAAATAAAGTTCATCTCCTTTAAATAGCTAAACTTTTATTATGAATATCGATTATGAAGGATATAAATATCCCATAGAAGTACATTCAAATACTTTAGTATATGAAATAATACAGGAGTTTAGATAAGCCCTTTAAATCTAAGAATAATGTAATTTGCACCTTGAAAATTAATAAGTTCTTCAACTAAACTTAACTTTAGAGGATTAAAATTTCAAACAAGATTCTATTTTATTTTTAAAACCAATTCAAAATGTTAATTATAATGCATAGTAATAACCTAGTTTATAAACAAATTAAGCTTTTAAAGCATAAGAAATTATTATTATGTTTAGTTTCTAAGGGTAGAATCATAGCTTAAGTTTGATGAATGATACATTAGTTAAGGATTTGATTATATGTATTTAATAGAATTTCAATTTAAATGAAAAATTTTAATTAAGTTTGGAAAACAAATATACACTAAATGAGGAGTAAACATTGGCTGCTTAGAAAGTTGAAAAAGGAAACACTTTATATCCAGTTTTCAACCAGAAACCATAACAATAATAGTTTGAAGAGAATTACACTTTGATTTTGAATTATTAGAATTGTAAATACCATTTTGAAGTTTCTTCTGATTCATTAGGAAGTGAATTGATGGATGCTATTTAGTAACATACTAAAATACCAACTGCATTTAATGCAATTATTGAAGGAAAAACTCTTTTGATCTTGGATAAGACTTTGAAGGCGTAAAATATAAAAAATGGAAGTATTATTGAACCTTAAGTATAACCTTAAATAAATCAATTGAATTAAACTTAATAAAATTAATTTTAGAAAATACCTCCTTTATAATAATAAATTATTTATGGTATTTCATACTAAAGAAATGAATAGCCTCCTGCGAATTAATAATTTATTCCATAACAAAATCAGTTTGAGTTTAATTAGCCTATGAATTTTGTTTCAGTACCTCCGTGGTAGAATACATTATAGGGAGGTTAGAAAAATTTATAATAACAATTCGAATAAGGATTGAATAATAGTTTTGAGGGATTTATTCTAAATAAAACATAATTTTTATCAAACTCTGGACTTGAACAAAAACCATTTCAATAATAAACATTAGAAATACTTTCTACAAAATTCTAAAAACCCTAAAAATAGTAAAATAACAAAATTATTAAAATTTATCTTCATTACATGAATACAATTTAAAAGTTGAAATTGAATAAAAAGATGAAAATCTAGGATATAATAGAACATTGCAAGGATGTATTCAATATAGAGTAAGATTTAACACTTCAACACTAAGGATAGGATTTGAATCCTTAAGAGATTATAGAATAATGTAGATTGAATGATAATGAAATTTTGGATGTAGTTGTTAAACAATTAGATTAATTAGTTCTGAATATTACGGTGCTAGGAAATGATATTTAAGTGGAGTTAGATTAAGACTAAAAGGTTTTTGAATTGATGGATGAGTTGAAGATGGTTTACAATATCAATTATCCCACTGAACTTGTGTTCAATCAAATAAAATTATTTCCTGATAAGAGTTTCAAGTAACAAAATATTCTGAGTAACAGTTATTTGATTTTAAGATAAAAATAAGCAGTTACCAAATTGAGGATCACTTAAAGTTTAAATTTGATTATTGTCAAAGTTAGAGATGGAATGAATATGATCCAAATTGAAATAGCTCCCACAGCAACAGTTCAAGAATTAGAGAGAAAAATTAAGGAAAAGACAGGTATAAATTTTGATTTTACATTATAATTCGACATAAAATTATTGAGCCCATATTTATCTTTGGCTCAATAAGGTATAAACAATAATTGTGAAGTAATTTTGCTTCGATGATGAATTTAATTTACATCATTTAATATATAAAATTCATAAATCTCTGGCATCTTCGAAACTTAAGATAAATACAGTATGAGGATAATAGCTGACACCTCGTTCATCAGTCTTAAATTAATAAGAGACTTGACATGTGAATCCAGATGCATTCAAGACTCCCTTAAATTATAGTAAATAGAGAATACTTTCAGAATCCCACACATAAATTATGCAGGGGATATATGTCCTTCTTCAGATATATATTTGAGAAGCAATGGATCTCATCTCTAATAAGATAATCATTAGGTCTATCCTTCAATTTTTCAATCGATTCTGCTTGTCTACCAAAGAGGTGTTTCCAAAACTACGAAAACTTTTTTATTCATTATACAATCCCTTAGATGAACCTCAATTATTCAACTAATTTTGTTTCCCTTTTATTTCTTTCTCTAAGACTTACTACTTCGTAAAGTCAGATTCCAACCGAAACTCTTAATTGTTCCATTTTAGAGTTCATCTCATTGTAATCGTTTCTGTATTTTTTCTTCAAGTAAAAAATATATCTAGATATAGAATGGAAGTACTCAGCAAAGATATAATAGAATATGCATAAATTCAATTCAGGTCTTTGTTATCTAATATTCTTGTTAAAAAACTAAAATTTTTTCATAATTATATGAAATAAATAGATTTTTCATAATTATTTTAATGATTCAGCAAATTATTCAATAAGAGACATAAGATTCTTCCCATTCATACATGTTGTATCAACCAAAGCACTACATACAAGATATGGATCCATATTGGCTGCAGGTCTTCTATCTTCCAAATATCTAAAATTACACAATTATATAATACCCTTTGCCTAATTCTTTTGTAATTATGGGTACTCTAATAGAACATCCCCTTGATCCATCTCCCCAAGAGAATTAACTATATTCTCCAGTCTCATGTTTCCCTGTCAATCTTGCTTCATTGTTTAAACCATACAACAACATCATTTTTTAGTGATTCTTTTCCAAAAGAGGTAACATGATTTCTTTAATGTATTCATAACCACCTTATTCTCTTGTCTATGTTGTTGAGAAATTGCAATGAGCTCCTGTACCATTCCAATCTCCTTAAATGGGTTTTGGATCATAATTGATATCAATTCCAAACTCTTCACCCAATCTTTCCAATATATATCTTGCCAACCATAAATGATCTCCTGCCTCTATTCCGTGAGCAATTCCAATTTGAAATTCCCATTATGATGGAGCAACTTCAGAATTAATTCCAGACAACTTTAAACCAGCATAAAGACAAGCTCGTTAATGAGCTTCAGATAAGGCTCTTCCAAAATTATTACGTTCTCCTATTGAACAATAATATCTTCCTTATGGATAAGGAAAACCTCCATTTGGCCATCCCAAAGGCCATAAATGGGTTGTTCCTGTTCTCTTTAACATAAAATATTCTTATTCAATGCCAAACCAAGGATCACTATCACTAGCTTCTTACATTATTTTTTCAGCAATCCATCTAAAATTAAAACGTGCTGGTGTTTTACGATCTGGTTTGTATGTTTCACATAATACAAATTTATGAGGATCTCCACGAAAAGGATCTCTTACCATACATACAGGTTTTAAGTAAATCTCACTAAATTTTGTGATTGCTTGATCTGTTGATGAACCATCAAATGTCCACCATTCAACATCTTCCAAACTTTAAATTGCATTATTATAAACTTTAGTTTTGGATCTTAATCTCTCTCCAGTACCATCTATCCAAATATACTCAACTAAAACATGTTTATTAGTGTTTAATTTGTAATAGTTAAAATCCCTTAAGTTTTCAATTGTTTCTGTCATTGATTAAATTAATATTTTAATAAAATAATTGTTTTATATGATTTACTAACTCATGCACCATATTTAGGAAATTTGCCCACTTAAGTAAGAAGTTCTCTCCAAAGACATTGTAATCTAATCATATTTCTTCTAATGTATGAGAACTAATTAATTTATTCTAATGTTTCAATATCATCTACTCTCATTTAATAATTTGAATAATGAATAAGTGCAATTTATTTTCCTTAACATTCTAATTACTAATATTTAAATTGATTTCTTGATTAAAGTGGGAATTCAATATCATTATTATATTATTTGATGTTGGATATTATGAAATATATATGATGTTATTTCTGTTTTTATATTTCTTCCAACACTTATATTTAATCTTTAAATGCAATAACAATGTCAAAACTATCAAATAATTTTTCTTAGTATTGATCATAACTTGGTAATTAAAATTATTAATATTGTTTTCCAATAACAACTGTTTTAGCACCATAACTTATTTAAGAATAAAATTGAGCATCATTGATCAAATTAACTTCAAGAATTTCTTCATCATTTTATTAATTTTATTGAATCTGATGAACTCCATCCTCCTTCATTCCCATCAATTCCAATAGAAAGTCCTCTTATTCTTAGATTACAATAGTTGTATTTCCTTTTTTGATAAAGTCTTCACAATCCTAATCGATTAATAATGCCACCTTTCCCTTCATTTTAATTATATATAATAATATTTAAGGAATGAAGCTAAGCTAAGTTGCTCCTATGCCAATTAAGGTATAATATTATTTCTAAGAATAGTAAGAAGTCGAGGACTTTGAGAATAGAGTAACCCTAAGATTATATTTGGAGAAACTTTTGAGTCAGAAATGGGGCCGATATTTAGACATAGTTTCTGGATTTATTAGTTTAACATCTTGTATGATCTATTTGGGTACAACTTACTTTAATAATGTGGATTGGTTGAGTACTATCGACATCATAGTTTGCTCTCTTTATTTATTTGAATACCTTTTAAAAACATTTGCTGCTTAACACAGACTGCAATATATACTAGAAGTGAATTCAGCAGTAGAATTATTTACATTGATGCCATTATTTATATTGTAAGAATAAGATAATTGGGATTATTTAACAAGATTGATAAATATCTCAAGAGTAATAAGATTCTTAAGAGTGGTTAAGACTATTTCTAAGTATTACTAAGTTGGTGATAATGAATTTGGTGGTGTTAATAAATAAATTTACACAATATCTTTGACAATTCTCACATTAATTATTGTGACAGCAGGAGTTTTGTAAGCATTTGAATCTCCAAAAAGAAAAGAACTTATTGCTCTTGATTAAGAAAATCAATGTGGTGCATCAATAGATGAATGTACTTTTCACGAAATGGTGTACTTTACAGTAGTAACATTAGCCACAGTTGGTTATGGAGATGTAACTCCTTAGACAGAGGAAGGTAGAGTTTGTGTTATTGTATTGATCATTATTGTTTTGGTAGTAATACCTAAATAGATGAATGAATTGATTAGATTGATGGGATTATAAAGTGTATATGCAAGAGCATTCTATAAATGGAATCCAGAAGTTCCACATATCATTATATGTGGACATGTAAGTGTTGCAGCCCTGAGGAATTTTTGTAGTGAACTATTTCATTAAGATCATGGTAGTCAAGATAAGAATGCTATAATTATGAGATTAACTAAACCTAATACTGAGATGGAGATATTCTTACATAATCCAAAATATGAATTATTTTTAACTTATTTACAAGGCAGTCCTATGGTTGATAGAGATCTAAAAAGAGCTGCAGCTACATAAGCTAAGGCTTGTGTAATTTTGACCAATAAATAAATAGTAAATAGTCAATCCTCTGATCATAAGAATATATTAATTGGATTATAAATAAAAAAATATGTGAATCATATTACTGGTGGTAATATACGTTTATGTATGCAATTGATTAAACCAGAAAGCAAGTTGAATTATAGATAAGCCCTAGGTTTAAAAGTCATAACTGATTAGATAATCTCAGTTGAAGAATTTAAGATGAATCTTTTGGCTAAATCTTGTTTCTGTCCTGGTATAATTGCATTAATAGGCAATCTAATTACATCTGCAGGAGAACAAGAAGGTGATATGGAATATGAATGGTTAAATGAATATACAAAAGGAATGGGACATGAAATATATAGAACTGATTTAAGTTTTAAATTTCAAGGCAAAAGTTTTAGTGAAGTAGCCACTATTGTTTATAATGAATTCAAAGGTATATTGTTTGGCATAGAATTTGATATTGGCAAATATACTATTATTAGATTGAATCCAGGTAGTTACATCATACCTAACACAACAGAAGCAAATGTTCATGCTTATATTATTTGTGAAGACAAGAAGGTAGCTGATTAAGTAGCTACTTATGAGATGACTACTGAAGAAATTGCTAATTATCATTATTAATTATTGCAAAAATCCAAATAAAAAGAAAAATTACCAGATGATGAAGAAGAAGAAAAGTTTGATGATCCTCTACTTTATGGAAAAGATTCTATTGAAGAAGCTGAAATGTTAGAATAAGATTATGTTCTTGATCCTGAACCTATATCTTTAATGACTGTAACTCCTACATCCTTATAAGACTCAACTGAAATTACTAATCATATAGTTGTTTGTGGAATCCATCCATCAATTTATTACTTTCTATTAGCACTTAGAGCTAAGTATCTTAAGGAACTTCAATTTGTTGTTATACTAGCTCCAGAATAACCTACAAAATAATGGGAATATATTAACAGATTTCCTAAAGTTAGATTTATCAAAGGATCTCCTCTAACATCTGATGGATTACTAAGAGCCAATATTAATTTTGCTGATAAAGCTGTTATTTTTGCTTAAGGTTCAGATTAATCAATTGATGAAGTTGGAGATGCAATAGATGAAATGCATGATGCAGAATCTATATTCATTTATAAAGCCATTAAAAAACTCAATCCATCAATTTAAATTATGATTGAACTTGTTTATAGTTCTAATATAGAATTTCTACTTGAAAAAGATTACTAATATTAAAATGAATTCAAATATGAATTTGTATAATCTAAATCTTTATATTTTATAGACTCCACTCTAGGCTTCTGGAGAAGTCTATATATCAGCCATCATTGATACTCTTACTTGTTAAGCCTACTTCAATCCACATATTGTGACTATTTTATAATAAATTTTAACTGGATAAAGATAGTCCACTTAAGTCATAAGAGCTATTTGTGAACATGCTGATCTTAAAGATTCCAATCTTTATTAAGTGCCTGTTCCAGAAGATTATCTTGTAAATATTTATTTCATGATTCTTTTTAGAATAAAACTTTTGGAGAATTATTTAATTACTTATCAACAGAAAGACATTTAATTCCTCTGGGATTGTATAGAATGGCTGGAGCAGTTGATAATAAACATCCTTATGTTTATACAAATCCACCATCTGAAACTAAATTGACTCATAGGGATAAGGTCTTTGTTTTAGCTCATTAATTACCAGCTGATTTAACAGGAGGTAGCAATCTTGATTTAAAGGCAATGTAAATGGAAGGTAAATAACTTGATATAGAAAATGAAAATAAGGGACTTATGTAAGACAAATTTAAAAATCAAATTTAAAATGGAATGCAAAAGACTTTAAGTAAATTTTAGATATAATTTTAGTAAAATAAAAAAATGATAAAATGGTTGTATTTTCAGGTGTTAGTAAAAGTCATAAGAATTTGGATCTAGACAATCTCAATGTTAGTAAGTTAAATATCTAATATTTAGATTCCACAACGTTTACAATGTTGGATTAAATTAATGAGACCATAACCTTGATTAAAGAATAAATACAATCTGTTTAAACTAATCTTTTATTACAAGAAGATGAAATAGTGGAGAAATGTAGAACAGCTGTTAGATACGAATTAACAACCTTGATTTAATGATATGTATTACTATATTAAAAACTGTTTTTATTTCTTTTTCATTAGTTTTTACTTTTATAATTATATTTTATTTCCATATTTTATATTTTCATTTAAAATGTTAACAAAATGATTTTTTCTAATCTTAAAGCCATTTTATTATAGCTTTATTTTTATTCAATTAAATTCAAATGAAATTATACATGTATCTTTTATATTGTAAAAAAGGAGTTAATTTATATTCCACTATTTCACTTTTTATTCTGAGTTATAAGTTATTATTGATAGTACATCTAAATTGAAATAATAGAATTTACTATTAGTTTAATATTGCTATCAAACTGAGCCAAATAAACTATTAAAAAAACATTGATAATAACCATTAAAGATAATACTAATAATAAGCCATATTAATCCATTTGATATTAAAATTCATAAAAAATGAACAGAAGTATTATTATTAATATTGAAATAAATAAAACTCATAATATAAGTAATTTTTTTAATTAATTAGAAAGTAATTTTACAGAAAACATTTTTTAGTATTTATCAAACGCAAATTTATTTATTTGTTATTCTTCTATGATTTCCAAGGGTTAATTATTATTCTAATTCACTTAATATTATTGATTATCACTAATTTTATATCTTCTTATTTTTTATCAGATAGAGCAATAAAATTTCTGAAATGAATATATGAATCTTTCATTAACATAAATATAGTATGGAGATGAATGTTAAGAATTTTAAACCTTTTTTTATTTATATTACTTTCTTCCTAATCTTTAATATTTGGGGCAATATTGTTTTAGATGAATTCCATAGATTTCATAATGCATCAAGAAATTCTTCAAAAATTAAGGGCTCTTACTGCAGAGTGTTAGAGTAATTTAAATATTCCCTATAAAAGTTTATAATCACTAGTAATAATTATATACAAACTCATATAAATTTTATCCTTTATCTGAAAAAAATGGCTTTTTTTCATTACCATCCTTTAACATATTTAAATTTATCACTCTTCTCACTTTAGGTGGTTTTCTGTGCATATATGATGTAATATTTAATACAGCTGGTGATTCATATGTTCTTTAAGGAGAACTAAATCGAGGGATTGGTTGAAATACTACCTTACCGTTCTTTCGCTTTTTTAAAACTCTTGTTTCTGGAGTAAACAATCTTGAATGAGGATTGTCAATGTTATTATTTTAACTCTAACAATTGAATGTTCGGTTAATATGTGAGTTTTCAAATATGTCACAAATTATCCCTTGTTCTTTACTTTTTCTTTCATTTTATGTTTGATATCTAGTAGAGTAAAATGCCTACTCTGTTTATTTTTTGTTTATAGGAGATGCCTTTCCTAAGATTTAGAAATCATATTGTGTCTGATTCCAATTTTTGGATGTTTTATTGAGCTTTTTACATGGAATTGTGTATAGATCCATTTCAATATTTATATTAAAATGAGTTTTGCTCTACCTTCTTCAAAATTACCACTTGTATACAGACATCCCTACTAAGGTTTTGTAAATATTTTACCATATATTGATGGAGAATTAGACACTAAAACTAAAATAATTGTATTGAATGTTAAATTATATAAGGTTGATCGTATGATTCAATAAGAAATGTAAAACATGGACCCATAAGATTATTTACATGAATTGCCAATGCCTTAAACAAAGTTAACAGATCTATTGAAATCAGAGATGGAAAGAGTTTAATAATAGCAACCAATGCCTAAAATTGATTTTGAATAGATACCAAATTTCAATCAAGAGTTTTAATCAACTCATGAAATTTAAGAGGCCAATTAATAATTGAATGTGCTTAATTAATATGCATAAATTAAGTAATTTAAGTTCATATATTCTTTAAGCATAATCAATTCTGAATTGCTTAATAAATATGGTAAAGAATCATGGGCATTATTACTCAAATCATAAGAAAATGAGAAGAATAGATTATCTAAAGAGGTTGTAAATTAATAGCAAGAATTAAATCATATTAATGCATAAAGAAAATATGAACAAGTAACATTTACCTCATATTAAGAATGAAGTAAAATATAAATTGGATAGTTTAAAAGCTAAGGTTAAAGAAGTCTTGACAAATAATGCTTAATTAGAAGTTGTATGTGGAGAATTAGAACAAGAGATATATGACAAGTAAAGAAAAAAATTAAAATTGAATTGATTTTAAATATATTATTTATTCTTTGATGAATATCAATATTTACAATTCTTCAACATTTATAGATCTCATTCCAAATGACTTCAACCAAAAACATACTATATCCTCATTGAATAAAATAAACTCTAAAAAACTCAACAAACAGATATAATCAACTTCTGATTTTGCTTCTTCATCTTGTCTATAAATGCTTACAAGTGCAAGTACTAACCGTAAATTTATCAAGCCAAATACTGACATGTATAAATTAGGCTAATAATTTTTAAAACACAAAAAGGAAAAACAACAATAATTGATACATTCATTAGAAGCTTAATTTTAACAGTCATGTCCATTTTCACCTTAAATTACATACAATTCTCGAATCATTGCTTCTATGTCTAAAAGTACTTTAGGTAGGAGAAGGCAATCATCTGAATTAATTGATACTTAATCTATTAAGTTACAAAAAGAAATGGAAGAATGCACTTTTTCTCCTTAAATTTTAAGAAGAAATCTTGATATTTTTGATAGATCATCACCATTTTATTTTAGATAAATTGATTGGAAATAAAATCTTTAAGAAAAATTACAAGCAAATAGATCATAAAATTAAACTTAATTAACAATTTCATAGAATATACAAATTAATCCTAAATAATTGGATTTAAGAGCTAGTCATGCTCTTAAGAAAAATATTGCTGCAAAATATCTAAGATAATCATTGAATGATATTTGAATTATTTAATTTTATATTAATTTAGCTTTATTTCACAACTAAGTTATTAGCAATAATATTTCTAAAAAAAATCAAAAATTATTAAAATTATATAAGGATATATTATTATAATAAAATGATAAAACATATTATTAGAAATAATCAATAGAATACTTAATGAATTTAAAATTTGTGAATTCATTCAGATAATGCTTTTAAAAGCTCACAGTAATTTTTAAAAAATATTTTCCAACAATTTAATATTTCCAAAATCTAATTCTATTTATCTTCTTATATGTAATTAGCAAACACCATTGCACCAGCCTATAATCTCTCTGTCTAATCTTTTAACTCTTTGATATCTTTAAATTATATATTTAATTATGATTTTAATTTTTCTACATTTTATTATAATAATTCTTTTTCTTTAACTTTTTAAATCCCAATCAAATTTAGAATTAATTTCAAATATTGTAAATAGATGTCATAAAAATATTTTATATACTTAGAGGATTAGATTTCTAAAAATGTTTAAAAAATTACCTTTTTAAGTTTTTTGGGTATCATTTTAACTTCGACTATTTTCTTAATTGATTTTATATTCTTATATTTTTTTGGAGTATTCTTCTTTTGTTTGGATTTCTTTTTTCAATTATTTTTTATAGAATTCAACTTTTTATTCATAATTTCTAATTAAATTATTTTATGTTGGTAAGATAAATTCTATATTTTTGAATAGAGCTTAATTCAATTATATAAGATCTAATGCTTTCTTTATCTAATCCTTTAGGAGTTCATCTTGAGAAAGTTAATAAATTTTATCTAATAATTTGATTTAATTATCTTATTTTTCTTTCATTGACTTTATTTATAATAATAATTAAGAGATTAATTCATTTCTCTTTTATTTTTTTGCTTCTATTTCTGCATCTGAATCGTAATTATTCATTAGTTGTTGTTAATCTGCATCAGTTAAGTTATTAATTGCTTAAACCATTTATATTCCTTCTGATTTAATTTCTTAAAAATTTGTATTTATTTCATTTATTTACTATTAATATTCTTATTGATATGATATATGTAAATCTAAATTTTAGCATATATTCAAAACATTTTTTTTACTCTTTATAGTTTTAATGAAGTCTTTAGTTGTTTAACTTTTAAAATCTTCTATAATGCTTTAAAAACTTTAGACAACTTCCGTATGATCATTTAACAAACTTTGATATTGTTGAAATAATTTTTGATGATCTTTCAATAGGATATCGTATTTTTAATTTAATTCTTCATTTAATTTTTGTAATTATTATGGTTGTGATCTTAGCTGCTATGCAATTTTATTAACTCTCTCGATTTCATCATTCATTAAATACATTGAATCGATTAGCTCATTAATACTCTTTTTACCTTTATTTAATGAAAAATTGCTTTACTTAATTCTTCTTTAACTGATTGTTTATCTGGTCTTGATAAAAGTGGCAGTAAATAAACTAAATTCATAATAATAAATAAATAATTAAAAGAAAAATATTCTATTTTTAAATTCATAAAATCACATATATAAATAAATATATAACTAATATAATCTTTATAAGAATGATCTAAATTTAAGAATTATTTATACATTAGAAGAAAGGATAAATTTTTTTGATATATATATAATTTAAGAATTTAATAAATATTTGGATTGATTAATCAAAATTAGAGTGATGAGAATAAGTATTATGTCTCTTATTCTATTTTGTGAGAATATAATTTAAATATTTTTTGGCAGAAAAAATAATTTAAATTTGAACTAAAATAAAAGATGTAAAAGTAGCAAAATGAATAGATTGAGGAGGATGAATATGAAGAAGTGATTTCTTATACATCTTTAGAAAAGTTAGCAATTCCAGGATTTGGGGCAGTTGATATATAGAGATTAAAAGATGCAGGATTTACAACATGTGAATCAATTGCATATACAGCAAAAAAGAATTTAATGAATATTAAAGGCATGACAGATGCCAAGATTGAAAAATTAGTTGAGGCTGTGGCTAAATTAGTAGTAAACTAATTTAAACCAGCTACAGATGTTTTAAAATAGAGAGAAAGAATAGTACATATATCAACAGGAAGCACAAAATTTGATAAATTACTTAGAGGAGGTATAGAAACTGGTGGAATAACAGAGATATTTGGTGAATTTAGAACAGGAAAATCATAAATATGTCACACATTAGCAGTCACTTGTTAAATGAATGATGGAAAAGGTAGACCTGGAGGGAAATGTTTATATATTGATACAGAAGGAACTTTTAGACCAGAGAGATTAAGTGAAATTGCAAAAAGATTTGAATTAGGAATAGAAGAAGTTTTAGAAAATGTTTCATTTGCAAGGGCTTATAATGTAGATGAATAAATGAAGTTACTAGTTTAAGCATGTAATTTAATGTCTACAGATAAATATGCTTTATTGATAGTGGATAGTGCAACAGCATTATATAGAACAGATTATTTAGGAAGAGGAGAGTTATCAGCAAGATAAAATCATTTAGGGAAATTCTTAAGGAATTTATAAAGATTAGCAGATGAAGTAATTCTAATTATTAATATATATATAGTTTAATATAGCAGTTGTAATAACAAATTAAGTGATGAGTTCAGTTGAAGGTACAATGATGGCAATGGGTGATTAAAAGAAACCAATTGGTGGTAATATTATGGCTCATGCTTCAACAACAAGATTATATTTAAGAAAAGGAAGAGGAGAGAATAGGATTGTAAAAATTTATGATTCACCATGTTTACCAGAATCAGAAGAGTAATATACTATATCACCTGGAGGTATAGATGATTGTGCTGATTGAATTGATTTTTAATATTTATTTTGTAACTAACAAATAAAAAATTAGTCAAAAGTTTTTACAAGAATTACAGAAGTAACTAATATTTTTGGAATCATGGTTTTATACATCTTTATTACATCTAAGGCATTTTCTTATGATCTATTAAATTTATTAATCAGCTAGTCTTGAATAATTCATAGGGTCTTTGAATAATTCACCAGTGGATGATTGGCATCTCTGTTTAGATAATGATGTCATTAATGGATCCTGAGGTAATTATTTAAGTATACATCCAATGATTGTAAACATTTGAAAAAGTCATCATTATCCAATTACTATATAGCTCTGAAGACATTTGAGCATTTCTATTTAAATTCATCAAATGGCTACTAATCATCATTAAATTTACTGATTATCCACAACAAATTATACATTCTCCACTTTAATCCATGGCTTCAATCTCATGTCCACATCCTAATGTTTTTCTTTTTAAATGACGAGATATTGCCTCTTATTCTTTTCTGATGCTACTTGATTTTTTTGTTTATGAACTATCTCTTTTTAAAGGTGATTTTTATCCTTATAGATCATGTAAATATTTTTCAATTCCAGCATCATTAGCATACAATAATGCTTTAAATTGATACAATGATTTTAGCATTTGTTCACGCTATGGATTATGAGAACTTAAGCGATCAAAAAATGTTGAAAATAATTCAATCATTGTCGTTCTCTCCACAGAAGACAGTTAAGACATTAAAAATTTAAAATTAATACCTTATTTTTTATATTCTTACAATAATGTACCTATTTTTCAATTGATTATCATCTTATATATATATTTAATAAAGCATATTAAAAATAATCATTCATTTTTTAATGAAGTAGTTATTGCTTAAGCTAACTTAACTAGTTCACTCACATAAGTTGAAGTTAATGAACTTCTGCTAACATAGGATGATTCAATTTTATTTCTAAGTGCTACAATTTCATTCAATTAAACAATATCTGCAAGACTACGTCCTTATCTTTTTTTTAATTATTCAGATGATGTACGAAAAGAATCATATTTAAAAGAATCAGATGGTTTAGTATATGATTCAGTTTCTATACTGTATTTGATTTATGGTGGAGATTGTACAAATTTAAATGGTGATTATGAAGATATTGAAGGAGATTGGAATGATTCTCTCCACTTATGTCCACTATTGAATGATTTAGTTCGTGGTCCTAAAGTATCTGTAATTCTAATTGTTAATATGTATTAAATACTTTTATTAAAGACCTTAAGCTTTATAAGGAGAATAAGTAGGTTCACTTCTTTATGGTTAAGTGGCAACAACATTTGATAGACGTGAGTAAGAGAAATCTCTAATTCTTGCTTAAAGATTTTCAAAAGAAGGTACTTATACACGTGTATCTTTTCTGAATGAATAGATCATAATAGTTACCTATTTGAATTGAATTTGTTGGAACTTTGTTGAGCTTCACGTTTTAAGAACATAATTTATTAAACGTTAAAAATTAAATTATCATCATGTATATTGTCATTAAGATTCTAATTTATTAACTGTCGTATGGATGGCTTTCCTAGATGAATAAGTGAGTATTACTAATTCAATTCTTCTAAAGCAATCAATTATTTGATACGTCTTGGTAATTGTAGATATTATTTACGTTTCCATTCTCTTGTTTCTGCATAATAATTATCTAATTTAATTTCACAAGCAGATTATAAAGAAGAAGCACAAGAATCATCAGGATTTTCAGGTGGATCTTAATTATAATGAGTTCTTTTGTGACGATGTGTAAGTACTTTTCTACCAAAGTTTTTTCTAAAATCAACTTCTGAATCAATAACATTTTGAATATATTTAGGATGTTTTTGTATAATAACTCCTTTAGGTTTGTTGTATAAATAATCATACAATTAAACATCAGCATGTGTTAAGATTCCATCTTAATTTCTACGATCCGTTTTAGCTGCTTTATGAAATAGAGTAAAATCATTTCTTTTATTTTGAATACTAAGACGTACAATCTTATTGATATTATTATCATGTTATTAAGCTTGATCTTATAATTCTTAGAGATAAAGTTAAGCATTATTTTCAAGTACAGATTTAAGATAAGATCTTGGAGGGATTGATTAAATAACTTATTATTGTAATTTACAAACTGGTTCAACATTATCATAATTGAGTCTATATTATTTTAAGTTTTTAGTTTTAGGTATCAATTTTTCTTAATAACCAACAGAATTTTCTTTATGATTAGCAATGTCTAAAATAGTTTATACTATAGTAAGAGTTTAAGCATTGCCTTGTCTAATTTCTTCATTATGAGGTTTCTTAATAGCTACTTTCTCTTTGATAAGATTGCGAACTTTGACAATTTTACTTTTTAGATAATTTTTTCTTTATTCAGTTTATTGACGTATTTTAAGAGTCATTCTATGTTTAGGTTAGAGTTATTGTTCAGCATTTAATCTTGGATAATTGAGTGTTTGAATTAATCTTTATAGATTTAAGTCACCTTTTAAGTAATGAGCAAAATGTTATTCAAATTGTTATCCATGATTACGTGTTTCGAATGGTTTTGTAGTTACTAATGGATCTATATGTTTTCTTGATGAGATATGTAAAGTATTAAATTTACGATGAATATTTTTAGAGTGATCGAATTCACATGTTGTAGAAAAACTCATTAATAATTTTTATAAATGCAATTTAAAGAAGAATTGATTAATGTGATTATCAATTTGATTGAAGAATTATTTGAATGCAAACTTAATTCCATTATGCAAGAAGTATTATAATAAAATAAATATAGGTTAATGATAAACTTACTCGTATGCATTAAGATATAGAAAGTATGTAGGATGTACTTGTTAAACACTTTTCACATTAAATAGCTCATTCAAGAACAGAATCATTAAGTGAAACAATTGATACTGCAGAAGAAGATTAATTTAAGAAATCAATTAATGCAGAATTGGATAGTCTTGGTTTACGTATTTAGTAATTAGAATATATGAATCATATTATACTTGATACTTAAAGTGCTAATAAAAATAATTATAAAGAATTAGAACGTAAAATATAACCATTACAAGAATAAATTAATAAATCAATAGAAGATATGAAAAAAGACTTAAAGGGTACAATCTATATATTAATATAGACAAACAGACATTTTAATGGACAGTATTAAATGATTAAATTGAAAGAGTAGAAAAATATGTCTAAAAACTTAAATAAGCAGATCTCTTATTCTAATAAAAATAATAATAATTATAAACACAAACAAATAAAAAATAAAAATGAAATGAATTTAACTAATATATAGTAATTTAAATATCATTATATATTATTATTATTATTTACATAACTAAAAATTGTAGATATAGTGTTCTTTTTTGGTAATTGTATAATATCTGGACTTTAAGGATTGTCTGGATCAATATATGCTGATATTACACTAGTGAATTCATTCTATTCAATTATTTTTTAATTCATTTTATTTCTATCATGTTTTCTATAATAATATATTTTAATTGATATACATATATTTAACTAATTATGGTGCAATTGAATTTAATAAACTTATTGTTGTATTAGTAGATGATGTATTTGGTCTATTAGTATTAATTTATAATTAAGAATTAAGATTCAAATTTGATTTTTATAATTTCAATTTTTAAATGAATTCCATTACATAAATTCTAGCCTTTTTCCATAATTATAATGCCTTTAGTTTAGTATGATAATTCTTAGGTTTCTTGATACAATATTTAATACAAGGATATCTTATAATTAAATTTACTATCTTCTCTATGTGTTATTATTTCAATCCAGACAAATACTCTTTAATAATCTTTGTAACAATATATGAACAATAAATTAAATTAAGAATTGAACATATTATTGATAACATATATACTAACCAACTATATGGATTTTTATGTTGACTATAAGAACATATTAAAGTGATCATAGCTAATTAAGTAGATATTTTATCAATAAAGTTGTATTATTTCTCAATATAAGGTTATTATTGATTCAATAATTCTAGATAAATCAATAATACTAATATAGCAAATAGAAACATTTATTTAATGTCTTAAATCAATAAAGTCTCCAATAGATAGAAGATTGATTTAACAAAGAAACATATGAATTCCCAATAATAATATTAATCTTTATATTCCACATATAAATAACCATAAGGCATTCTTAATTTACAAGTCCACAATTTATTTTTATTAAGATATAATTTCACTATATAAAACATAGGAGAGATTACACCAACTATTATTAAAGTAGGGATGATAAATATTTCTAAATAGAAGTAATATTCATCAGTATAACATATATATGATGTAGCTGCTTACATATAATATTAACCTGAAGCTTTAATACAAAACATTAATTATAATAATCCTTCAATGATGTCTCCTTAAAAATAAAAATTAACTTAAATAACACAAGTGATAAAAATAGTTTTGGTTGAATTCTCTAATTTCTATTTAGTACATATTTATATTATTGAATAAATAAATACAAATGATAATACAAATAGTATTGAAACAAAAAGATTCCAAAATTATCTTAAATATACAATTTCAACATTTATATCAGAATGCAATAGAAAACATTCAATAGAATATCCTAATGTGGATAATGGATTACCTATCACTTAAGTTATAAATACTAAAGGTGTAGGAAAATCAAATTCAATTATTAAAATAATCGAAATTAATTAAAAATAGCTAGATACTAATTTAATTAAAATTTCAGTTTAATCAAATATCATTGTAGATCTAGTTGCAAAGAATATTCCCATTAATCTTAAATAATAAGCTGATAATTATGATCTAACTAACTTCAAACTTCCTCTAATTGATATAAATAAAGCAATTAGAATCCATAAAAATGATAGAAATATTTTTAATAAGTTAAATGTATCATTTTAACATATAGAACAACTTCCACTATAATCTCGTGTATATGAAGCATTCCATTTTATAGCATAATAATCACAATCATTACATAATGCACCAATATAACCTTATTTACAAGTAAAATCTTCTATTCCTCCTAAACATTAAGAATGAGATGTTCCACAATATTCTATTTCATCTGTTTAATTATTTGCTCTCCAATAACCTTATTTAACAATCAATTATGATCCTCCAGGACATGATTCAATTGAAGTTATACATTATAAACATTATTTATAGTTTGTTAAACTATATGATCCAGCTGGACAATATTAACATGTTTAATTAGTCCATTCTTCTCCTATTTCACATTCTATCATATTTAAATATATTGATAATTTAAAAGTATCATTATAAAATTTAAGTTATGAAAATTCTATTTATATTTCTATAATTTCAGTCTGTGGTTATTGTTAATATTGTGTATATGATATTACATATTAACATTTTTAATAATCAAATTTAAATATCATTTTATTGTTAATTATTAAATAATTATTTAATTTACATAATCTATTCATTCCACTATCTAAAATAGCTATAATGAATTCAATCATTTATCCACTCTTTAATTTATTATATTCTATTATTGTATTTTTTTTAATTATATCATCTAACAAATATGTCATATTACCAACAATAATATAAACAGGTCCAGTAATATAAGTCAAAATATCTGGTTCAACAATTTAATTTGTGATTAGATAAATATATTTATTAGTTTTCATAGTACAATTTTCATATTAATTAAAATCAATATAATTTGTAGAATCTCCTATTTGATTTAAGTATATTACACCACCATCAATTGAATTTAAATCAATAAATTAATTTTAAAAGATTTTAATTGATGAATTTCTTATATAAAATGCAGATCCATAAATACTTGTATTATTGGAAAATATATTATCTATAGCTATTAAATTAATATTATTATCAATATTCATGTAACCTAATTATGAAATAGAATTATTGAATATACATTTTTATATATCACTATAAATACTATTCTATATTACTATAATACCATCACAAAATTAACAATTGATATTATAAATCTATAATTCATTTAATATTATCTTTATACTATCTTCAAATTTTATAAGTTATTTATTATTCTAAATAACATTAAATATCTAACTCTATTTAATAATTAAATTTGAATTTTTAATTATAATTAATGAAATCAAATAGTTTCTAATTTAGAATATCTTAATTAAACTAAGTTCAATTTATGAATCATTAATTTATAGAAATTTACATTCTTCACATTATTCCATTCTAAACTTTCTTATTACTACATTTACAATATTTGATAATTTTGCAAATTAAATTGATGTACAATTATTAACTATTAAATTTGTAATTTAAATTAAAGAAGACCATTCTAAATCAAATAAAATTTAATTGGATATATTAGTAAAATTCACTTAATCAATTAAAAGTTCTTGAATTTAATTTTTATTTGATATTGTTCCTAATATTGAATTAAAACTTCCTTTATAAATTGAAAGTGTGCCATTAACATAAAATAAAGGATTTGTTGATTAACTAGAATATATTGTGATTTAATTAATAATAACATTACTAGAATGATGTGTATTCATCATTAATTATCCTTAAAGATTCTATAAATTAAACTATTTAATAAGGATATTTTATGAATTTAAATATAAGATTACTTCTGATTAGATATTTATCATAGTTGTATTTAAAATTGATATATATTAACTATCAGCAATTATTAATTGACAATCTGATATAATAGATTGAAATCTATTGCCAACAATTTAAATTTGATTAATACTTTTCATTCTCATCAAAATACTTTGAGAAAGTGTTACATTAATAATTGTAGTATAAAGTGCTCCATTTGCTTATATGACTGTAGAAAGAGTAAAATAAGAATTTTAAATTGTAATTTCTTATGAAATGTCTGTATCAATCAAAATACTTTAAATCACAAAAGAATTATTAAAAGTGATTCTATTTATTGAAGCAACTCTAGTTAATGTAGAGTTGATGAAACTGACTTAATCAAATTAAATGTTACGTAATCTACTATGTTATTGGACAAGAGAACTTCTAAAAAAAGTTGAATCAGATATTATCAGTCCATCTACATCTATTGATGAATTAAAGACTGGATTATATTAAAAATTCATCTTACTTATTGTACACTATTGAATGTATACTTTGGTTGCATTAATTTAACAATTTCTTATGAGAGTAACATTTTTTAAATGTACTTGTGTTGGTATTGAAAGTACTTTAGTTTAAGTATCAATTGTTATATTTTGAAATTCAACTAATTAGAAACCTTATAATAGAATGTTCTAATTCAATAGTAATTCAATTCCTGTTATTTTAAGTTACCCTCCTAAGGATGTCATATTGATTAGTTTTTCATTACTTACATTTAGAGTGCAATTATAGTTGGGGATTGTGATGGATTTGTCAATTTGTAAAGTTAAACCTTATTTGTCTTTACAAATCAATAATCCTATAGTGATATATATATTTATGAGGAAAAACAATCTTTTCATCAAATAATAAATAGTTATTAAAATATTTCAATATACATCAAAATCATAAAACATCAATTCACATCATAATATTTATGGTCTGTATATTAAGAAATAATATTTAATAATTTATATTACTTATATTTAACAATCAAATTAAATCGATGTAATAATTCCTATTCCTAATAATATTTTTATTATTAATAAATTATTATTTTCTAAATTTATTATTATATTGTAATTAAAATATATATTACAGAAAGGAATTACATTAAATTAATTAAATGATTATATTGTCACTTCTTTTGTTTCAAAAAATTATAAAATTATTTAGTTTTTTACTAAAAATGAATACCATTTTAATCTGTTTTTTTTTAAATAGATGATGATAGATGTTCTTAGAATTATAATTCTAAATTATGATTTCTTTTTTTGTATAATAATTTCATAGATTCTTATGTTATATTTTATATAATTAGAGCGGCTATAAGAATGTTAATTAAATTATGGAGTATAAATATCTATTTACATTTCTTTATATATAATTATATATTATAAGTTTAAGATGGTTTGACTTATTTACATAATCTAGTTTATAAGTAACTTAGTAATCAAGATAGATTTAGAATAATATCATTAATAGTTTATATTTTTTAATATATATATATATAATATATATAAAATGAATAAAGCTGATGATAGTGCTAATTAGTTTTTTGTCATTGAACGTAAGATAATGTTGTCAATAATATAGAAATTGATATGAGTAGTGAGAGTGAACCTGAAGATTTAGAAGATTTAGATGATTTAAATGACATCTAACATGAAGAAGATAATCTCAATGATTTAGATAAGATTATAACTGATGTTAAAAGTAAGTATTATATTCTATAATTCATTAGAGGAAGTTTAAATGCCTAAACCAACAACAACAATACCAACAAAAGGAAAGGCAAAATCTATAGAAAGACCTGAAGTTGTTGATGACTTTATTCGTAACTTCCTCATAAAGAATCAAATGAATAGAAGTTTAGAAGTATTTCAGGTATTTTAGATCATTAACTATTCTAGTAAGAATGGTATGAACTCTCATAAAAAGGTAAATTGGCTACAGATGGTATGGGTGAAGTAACAGATGTTTATATTTAAAATGAAAAACTTAAAGAAGAACTTAAATATGTAAGAGGAGAATTAGATAAAGCCAAAATTGTAGCTGAAAATGCAAAATCTACTTATGATAAATTGAGAAAAGAAAGAGATTTTCATAAGATGCATCATCATAGAGTTCAATAAGAAAAAAGAAAATTAAATCATGACATTGATAAATTAAAAGGATTGCATTTATAATATGAAACTAAATATGAAGAACTATCTTAAAAGTATTCACATGCTATGAAAGAGAAAATGCTATTGAAATTAGAAAGAGATAGATTAGTAGCTAAAAATGATGCACTTCAAAGAAGCTTATAAAATGTATATATCTAAATTATTAAAAAAAAGGTTGAAGAAAAGATTAACAAAGAGAAAGAACCAGGAAGTCCTACAGATAAACTTCCTTTAGTTGATACAAAAACTAACACTAAGAAAGCTTCTACTAAAGCCAATACTCCATTCCCTCCTGATGATAGACCTAATCCTTATGCAAATACTTAAATAGAACCACAAAATTACAGAAATGCTATTTAAAATAAAACATAAAAAGGACATATGATGGCAATATCATCTATGGATATGCATCCAAAAAAATCAATAGTTGCTACTGCTTCAGATGATTTTACTTGGAAGATTTGGACATTACCATAATGTGAATTAATAATGTCTGGAGAAGGTCATAAAGATTGGGTTAGTGGAATACATTTTCATCCTAAAGGAAGTCATCTAGCTACATCATCTGGTGATTGTACAATTAAAGTTTGGGATTTCATTAATGCTTCATGTACTCATACATTTAAAGATCATATTTAACCTGTTTGGGGTGTTAAATTCAATGATACTGGAGAATTCATAGTAAGTGCTAGTATGGATCATACATGTAAAGTATTCGATTTAGCTTCTGGTAAAACTAGACATACATTTAGAGGACATGTATTTTAATATAATTATTATTATTAAAGGTTGATTCTGTTAATCATGTAAGTTTCTAACCATTTTCTAATATTTTTACATCTGCTTCAGCTGATAAAACTATTTCATTATGGGATATTAGAAGTGGATTATGTGTTTAAACTTTTTATGGTCATTTGAATAGTGTTAATCATGCCACTTTTTCATTAAAAGGAGATAGTATTGCTAGTTGTGATGCTGATGGTATTATTAAAATGTGGGATGTCAGAATGGTTAAAGGAAGATCACAATTTGATGCAGGTCCTTATTCTGCTAATGCTGTTGCTCTTGATAAAAGTGGAACTATTCTTCTTGTGGGATCTGATGATCAATAGATCAGACTGTATAATGAAACCACATAAAAAGTATTATCTTTATTTACTTATTAATTAGTAAGAACATACTCTGAAAGGACATGAAGATGCTGTCTAAGATGTTGCATTTGATTATAATAGCAAAATGATTATTAGTTGCGGTTCTGATGCTACTTTTAGAATTTATTAATGATTTAATATATTATAAACAAAATGTATATTATTTATTTAATTTTACTGATACTTTACTAATATCCTTAATAATTTTGTTGTTTCTTTATTCTTATTTTCATAAACTTGAAATTTTACTTTGCGTACTTATATTCAATTAATTATTCAAATCTGAAATATTTAAGAAAATCCTTAATTAATTATTCAATTCAATCATTAAAATTTAATGAATTAAGTTGTAGAGACTTTTTAAAGATTTGATATCTTTGGACAAGAAATTAGACTCTTAGCCACAGGCAAATCAGCTTTTCGAACAAACATAGGTGCATTTATGACTTTGACACTATTAGCAATTCTTGCTTATTCTTGTAATTCCTTTATTCTAGAAATGAATAAAGGAAAAAATGCAATTCTTAATTCAAAAGAAGCTGTAATTTCTGGTGAAGAAGTATATAAACTTAGAAAATTATTTAGGGTTATACTTTTAATTCTTCTGAATTAATCTTTGCTGTTGGACTATTAGATAACTTGGGATAACCTATTCCTAATGAAAATAATAGAGTATTCACTATAAGTTTCTATTATTGTAATAAATCTCTAACTGAAACTGAGTGTGTATCTATCCCAGGAACTATATGTGGTAACAGAATAAAAGAAGTTTCAATAGTAAAAACATCATAAAAATATTAGTAATTAAACATCCCCAAAGAATATGAAGATATTACATATTGTATGGATGAAGAATATATTAGATAAAACCCAGAAATCAGAATTCAAGGTTCAACCAGATAAGATAATTTCACTTTATTGGGAGCATTAGTCTAAAGATGTTAAAATAGTACAGAATATAATAGTAAATTTATTAATAAAATTAGATTGTGCATCAAATGATGATATAGATTAATATATTAAAAATGCTAACCTTTATTACTCTTATTCTTTTCATTAATTTAATAAAGAATTAGATGATTCCCCTTATGAGAATGCACAAAGTATAGATGTTACACCCATATACTATAAAGTTCGAAAATATATAAAAATCTATTTCTAATACTCATAAAGTTATTTAGAGTATAATCCTTTTTATTTCTTTCCTTCTTATGCTTAATATGATGGTTTTGAATATTTAAATTCTGCTATTGATTCTGCTTTAAATTTTGAAGATGATAGTAGTTTTGCTTAAATAGAAATTAATTTAGATGCAAAGAAAAGAATTCACTTTATCACTTATTAAACATTAATGGATGTAGCTGCTAAAATAGGTGGATTTTTTACAATAATTAGAATTATTTTTGATATTGCACTATTTCCTATCTAATCAATACTTTATCGATTATATTTGATTAATTATTTAACCTACCAATAAAATTATATTAATAATAATAATACTAATTCTGGTACTCTTAAAAATAAATCCTTAACTTTTTATAGTCTTATAAAATCAGGACAAGCAAGATAATTATATCTAAATTAATCTTTAATGATTGATAAATATTTGGACATAACAGAAATTCTTATTAATCCTTTAAGATTTACTAGACAAGTAGAAGATTTATATGGTTCAATTAAGAGATTTGATATTGTAAGTGCTCGTCAGAATAATATTAACATAAATTAAGAAATTGATGAATTGGTGGCTAATAATAATAATAATGAATTAATAGATTTGAAAAGTATGAGTCCTAGAACTATAAATTAAGAAATATAATTTGGAAGTCTAACAAATTTTAAAGTACCTAAATTTCATGTAAATTGAATCTATATTTCATTCTAATATTTATAATTATATTTATAAAACAATAATAAATTAAAGTCATTTTAATAATTAATTGAGTAATTCTTATGCTAGATAAGTTTTTGAATCTATTTCTGATTTTATTAATTAAATTTGTGTTCTCAATACATTTTCTTTAAAAACTTATTAATTAAGTATCACATTAATTGAGTTGATTTCTTCAATCTATTCAATTTATCTTATATACATAATAATTTTAATCCATTTATAAAAATATATTGAAACTTTATTTTTTAATCTATCATCTACTTTTTGAAGATAAATCAATATTTTAAAAACACTTCTATTTCTACAATTCTAAGATTTTGTAGATAATGAAACCTTAGAATTATGGTTACTTATTGGTGATTTAGATCTTGATTATTATTTATTTTCCTTTTAATAAACAATATTATTTTATTGAATAACATTTGATTTAAATGTATTCTAATTTGTATTATATTTAGATGTGTTTGCATAATTCATTAATGCAACATTCCTTATAAATCTATGAAATGCTATAGTTTTTATTAATCTTTCTTTCCTACTTGTATTTTTGAATAATTATATTAATATTAATTTTTGTCTATATTAAAAGAAGTTTTTCCTTTCCAAATCAAAAATCTATTCTTCAATATATTTTCGTTATTTCTTCATAT